AAACATATTTAACTCCTTTTTTTGTCATTGCCTAGAGCATTGTAAAATATTATATATTGTTTCTTCTTTTTGTAATATTTTCATTGATAGTAGATTTATTTTAGATTATATAGGATTATATAAATCAAATGTTATAGTGACATGTATCAAATGTTAGCTACCACTTCTAATAACTAAAAAGATTGTTGTTTTTATAAGTCTTTTTATTAACATTATGCAAGATTAGATATGCACTTGCTCCTTCTACTTTAAATTCAAGAATTCTTTATTTTATATTCAAAGGTTTTTAATTTTTTCATATATTTTTTGTGATATTTATTAATATTTGGATTCAATTTGATTTTAAATTTACAAAAATTTATATGTTCTATTATTTTAATATTTAATATTTGGAAATTATGAAAGAAGTTTGAGATATTGTTTTAATTCTATTGCAAACTTTTCCTTCTTCAAACCTAAAAGAACTAGAGAGTGTTATTTATTGGTTTTTTCTTTATTCTATCTCCAAAAAAACTCCCTCTTTTTCAAGTCCTTCTTGTTGCTCGCTTTTCTTTCTACCGCCTACTTTTTATCTTCAAATAATCTCTTTTTATCTATTACTAATGTCATTTCTTTTGCTTCTTTTGTAACTTTAGCCTTTTCAATAGATGCATCAATGAAAGCATGTAAGAAGGTATTTTGCAATTTCATGCTCATGTTCTCAAGATTCAAAGGAGCCTTACATTTGTGGTTTCCTTTTATAAGGATTACAAAGGCTGAAGTCTTTCTTATGAATGGAATTGAGCTGATAACTTCTTCCATAGTTGCTACCAAATCAAAAAGAGATGTATTAATGGAGTCAATTCTATTAAGAAGGTTTTCTAAAAGATTGTGAAATTGCCAAGCCTTTGTTTTTTTATTGTAAGCTTCTTTTTTATCATCTATTGTGTTGTCTTCTTCTAACATTAGACTAACCACATAGTCAATTGTATATAAAGACTTGATGGTGGATTTTTATCTAAAGAGCTTCTTCATCCTTTTAATATAGATATAACTTCTATTGAACTTCTGCTCAACTATGAAGATCTCTACTTTTTATTTCCTTTGATGGTATCGTATCTTAACTGCATAGATTTTGTCAACTCTTTCAGAAGCTTTGCCTTGTAAAATTTAAAGTCACTCATTCATAGTCTTATGATCAAAGATGAAGGTGTCTTTGGCTTAAACAATTAATCACATATGCAAGCAAATAATAGCCTAGTATTTTAATTTGTAGAGCAACACTAATCTTTGTTGATCCAAAAATGCTAAATATACTATCAAAGTTTTCAATGTCTTCAAGTTAAGAGACAATATTAAAAAAAGTCATTGCCTTATTAGAGACTATTTTATTTGATGTGATAGAATTAGACACAATAAGTTGTGGATGGTTGAATAAGACGTGGTATCAAGAATGTGAAAAAAGACACTAAAAAAAGAATTTGCCAAATAAAAATTGGTAATTGCAATAATAATTTGGAAGGAACAAAATGAAAATTAAAAATGAATTAAAGACAATAATATTTCTTTGCAAGAAATTACAAAATTTTATATTTAAAATTTAAAAATTTTAAATTTGGGATATTTAAAATATCAAATTTAAAATAAAAAAGAATATATTAGAATATATCAGTAATATTTTTGAATTAATATAAATTAATATCTCTAATTAGTAAGGACTTATATTAAATATAAACTACTACTAATATAAATATTGATCTAAAAAGATATAAGAGCTTATATTATTTTGAGATATTTTAAGTTTGATCCCTCTTAATAACTTGATTTATTCATTTTGCTTCACTACGAACTAGTCAATACCAAAAGCATCTTCTTGCTTATGTGGAAGATTTAATTTATTTTAAATAAAAAATCTATTCAATAAAAAAGCTTAGAATATGTTTAAAATGGTATTTCAAACAAAGACATTTGAACAAATAAATTTCTATCTTATATACTAATACTCAATTATTACTTTGTACTATTTTTATAATATAAATAGAAAATAATGTCAATAATAACCTCTTATTTATCAAGGTTTCTACATAAACTATTAACTATTGTGATATATATATATATATATATATATATATATATATATATATATATATACACTAGAACTTTTATTTTATAATTTGGTAAAAAATTTAATATTTAAAAATAAATTCGAGTTAAAATTAAATAATTTATCATTTTTTTATATGAATTATCTTTAAAACTATTTTGGATGAGGTTGAAGATATTTTATTTTAAATTCTTGTAAGCCTTAAATATTTGATAGGTTCATAGTCTTCAACTAATTATTTTGTATTATGATAGCAAGAATCATTTATCAATAATATTTTATAATTTAAATTACTTCTATCACATAATAAAGATGATTTATTTTGATATGGCATCTCTTCTATCCATGTTTTATAGATTTTTAAGTATTTAATTAGTGTATAAATATTATAACACACTATCTAATATATTTCAACTTTTCAACTTCCAAATAAAATTCAAAGCACAACTTATTATTATAGTGCTTTATTTTTATAATACTATATTATGAAAAGAAATATAAAAATAAATAAACAAAACTTTGCTATAATCTATCCTCTTTTTCTTATACTCTCTTTATATTTTTTATACAAATTTAAAATTAAATCTATAAAAAATATAATTCTAATACTTATAGAAAAAAATATGAGTTTTTTCATTTTTATTTTATTATATTTAAAAAACCCAAATTTGACAATTCAAACTTTATAATATTTTCTTCTAAAAAATAGCTTTATTTAAAATAAATTTTATTTAGAGATGGTTTTTAGATAGAATTATAATTCTACTAAAACCAAAAGAAATAAAAAGAGAAATCTAGTATTTTAAAAAATTAAACATCTTGTAACAATCTAAAAGTTAATTATAAGTAATAAAGTCTTATTTCTTATATAAAATAGCTCAAGAGAGATAAACCAACGTGATAAACTAAAAGAGACAAAAACCATCTTTGATTGGTTGCATATTTCATTGTTTTCATCAAAAATAAAACAAAAGTTGAATGATGCAGCAATTCACAAGGCCTTGATAGACCTAGGTTTATAGATTTACATGGCTTTAATAGCACATATGATTTGTTTTTTATAAAATAGAGAGATGTATTAGGGCATGGTTTTAAGCAATGCTTATAGAGATATTGGTTTTTGGTGTGTCTAAGGCTTAAGATTCAAATGTCATCTATGGCCAAGTTTGTAGAAAGAGGTACTGAAGATCCATAGAACATTGCATATAGCATTTAACTTAAGTTTTTTGGTGAAGATGACCTTGCTATTGCAAGTAGCCAATTGTAAGATTAAGCCCTTTTTGAATTTTATCTAAGTATTATGTGTAGTTGATTATAAAAATAATAATAATTTAACCACTTTCTAATTTTAATAATTTTAAATAATAAATATTTTATTAAAATATAATAAAATTATAATTTATCTTTTTAGTTTATATTTTCTTTCTTGCAAGGTATACTAAAAGTATCTCTTTGTTGTCTACATATCTTTTTTTTATATTTCTATTTAAACCTTAAATTTTAAAATATATAAATAAAATTTTATCATATTCATTTATAAGATTTTTTTATAGATTAAATTATTTTAATAGTTATTAAATGATAATATATAAAAAAATATGTAATTTAAGATTAAACAACAAATAATTGTTAATCTCTTTATAAGAATTTTAAAATACTTTGAAAATATAATCCATATTTTTTATAAGTTAATTTACATTGGTGACTTATGGATTAATTGCAATTTTTGAATCTTTCTTTGATTTAAAGTATCTTTTCGAATACAATTGTTCTTAGAAATGTAATCTTTGTGATTAATGTCTACTTTATAATGCATTAGTAGAATACCTTTTAAGTTACTTTATTCATTTAAAGAAATCTTAAGTATTATTTATAGATCATAGGAAAATTTATACTTTCTAGCAATCTATAGAAAATCAATTGTAGCAAAATAGATATCCAACTATTACCTAACACCAGATGAATAGAAAATCCAAATGACTCCTTACACTAAAACATTTCATTTATTTCTAAATTCCTAATCATATCTAATTACTCACAAATGATTTTGTGTGTTTTTATGTTACTTTTTAAAAGCCTAAACCTTACAACCTTCCTACTAATTGTTTTAGAAACTATCAACAATTGATTACTCATTAATCAGTTGATTACAAACTAATGGACACAATATCCAACATCAATATCTATGGACACACATAGATAGATGAGAGACAAATGAAGTGAAGATGTCAAAATTCAAGCTATATACCCTCTTTTGCAAAATTGTGGAAAAGCTTAGATATAATTAAAGATATTGTTATTGCTACCACAACCCCATATCTACCACATGCCACCTTTGCTCAAAACTTTTCAAATCAATCAAATTTTTATTGTTCAATACCATTCAAACCATTTGATTGAACTACTTTTTTGATTGGAATAGAAAAAACTTAAGAAATATGTCCAATATATGAGAAGTTGTGGTGGTAGAAGTGAATTTTTTGGTTTAATTAACTATAACTACCATTATGATTAATCAATCACTACACCATCATTACCTATTGCTAGGGTGGCATACCAAATTCTAAACGGTACATCCTGCCATGATACTACATCAAGTAGAATGAAATGGATTTTACTAAAGTAAATTTTTAGAATTAATAAAAGAATTATATCTTGTAATAACCACTATTTGTCCATTAGTGTGGTATCAAAATTACTCATATTGCATTACTTTTTGTGGTGTTTTTACACTGTTTCTTTCAGTTTTACATTATTTCATTATCTCATGTATTTAAAGAAATAACTTATTTACGGTGCTTAAATAATTGTGAATTTAAACACCAACTCCATCGCGGGGTTCAAGACAAATCTCATATGGGCTACAATGCCTCCTCTAATGCACTAAAAAGGCATGTACGAATGGCGTAACAAGCTCTTGAGCTACAAAGGTATCTTTCGACCTTCATTAATCCAAAGCATCGGGTATAACCTATTTGGTGTCATAAAATAAAAATAAAAACAAAAATCTAAAGCACCGACTTGCAGTTACCGAAGTAGCTGAATGAGGTTGTCAGCTATTAATCACCATTCCCAAGCACCCTTGTGCCCAGAACGAAATCTGGCTACAATAAGGCCTCAGTGAAAAAGAAAGTAAACCACACCCTAGCTCCAGCATCACAACTCTATAGAACGCACAAAAGCTTGAAAGGGAGAGAGCGGGGGAGGAGGCAGCTTAAATGAACCCAGTCAGGCAATAGATGCCGCCAAAAGAGAAGCAAGGAGAAACTGAAGGAGAAAATTTCGACAAATGGACAAATGGGTAAAACAAATAGATCTCAATATGGGACCACATAAGGAAGGGCATAGAGCTCACAGGCGGGCAAAAGGACTGCATCAGCCCACACCTGCACCGAGGACTCCCCTGCCCCCCTCTCCACCTCCGCCTTTGGCTTCGGGTGAGACCCCAGGGGCCTGCCTGCAAACAACCAATCCTCGTCCGGAACGTCTGACCAAGAGCTCGTGGGCTTGAGGGCCAGCATTTCCCATGAAGGAGGAGGCAATTTAGAAGCCTTGGGAGACTGTATTTGTGGATCTAAATTACTGCTGGGCAACGTAGTCTGGTTACCAATACTGCCGAGGGGCCTACAACTAGGTTCACTAGTGCTACTCTCAGAGGGCAAAACTAAGCCTGACTTGACATCAGAAGCCTTGCCATTGGGTTCTTGTTTAATATACAATGGTTGAGAAGGAATCGGAGAAATCGGAGGAGGTATTACAGGAGGAATTACAGGAGTCCTCTCCGGCACACTCCGGGTAGGGGCCTTCCCGCCATCCTTGACCTCGTCCTTGATGACAAGAGAGGGTTCAACAGCAGCAGCCGTAGACTGTTTGAGGGGGCTCTCAGTAACGGCCCTTGAAGGAATATCCCGCACTTTCCCATTCTGTTTCTCTTCTTTGGGTTGTAGAATGTCGCTGATAAGAACAGTTCGTGGATGCTTACTAGGCCGCGAGGAGTCCTTGTCTGTACCAGAGGCAAGAGCGGACCCATGACCCAATGATGTACAGTATTGTCAAGAGAACGTGTCATTGAGCTACTGTGAAATAAGACATCATCAACCCTCCTGTAGGAATGGCATGCATTGATCTACAAAGCAGAGCGGGGAGGAAAAGCCCTTGACATTTGACGGAGTTAACTGTACGGACACAGAACTGGGAGCACTTTTCTGATAAGGGCACTGCATCAGAGACAGGTCCAAGTAAACAAGCTAATGAAACCTCACATATCCAAGCTTAATTTATCACTGTAAGTATCCATTTCGGGACCGGACAGTTGCTTGGATACAATCACCGAGCTTCCAGCGGATGTTAGGAAGTTTTAATATCTTACACAAGTACAATGATATCTGTGAATGCTTACGCAAGGCGATCCTATCAACAGTCTAGGGTCCACAGGCGCACCTATGAACAAATAAGAGTACACTCTGGCAGATTGGATAGGACGCTTTGCATCATTGTAAAACAACAAGAAAGTAGAAGGGAGAATGGCTTACCATGGGTATCCCCATTTGTATCCCCATCCTTTTTCTTCTTTTTCTTCTTGTCTTTATGTTTGTCTTTCTTGTCCTTCTGCAGCGCAGAGTAGAAACACACCAACATTCCCATCTTAGACCAGAGAGGTTAGGACTCAACCCCCTAATAATGATAACGAGCAATATACATTGATCTCAAACAAAACCATCATTAGATGGAACCAAACAAAAATGTAGTACAAGGACTGTATCCTAGATCTGTGCAAATAGTGACTTGGAAAACCAAAATGGATAACAGCATTTGGAGTAGGAAGTTTAGGTCATGGACTTTGAAACTGCACTGCCACAAATAGAAAACCAAAGAGCAACCTCCAAAAAAGAAAACAAAACAAAACTTAGAAGATAAACACTTTAAAGACATCATGGTGCTAAGACATGCTTCGTACAAATTTTAGGGTATTACCAACTATGAAGTCATCTGGACTCATGAGCATGATCACCGCCTTCAGGCTATCACTAACCTCTGTTTCCAAAAGGGCCGATCTAGACAAAATGAATAGCTACAAAAACATTCCCTCGAAACTCTACGTCTCTGCCATGTTCCTGGTGTGGACGTAAGAAATTTTGGCCACAATGCTAGAAAACATTCCAGCTCCACAGCTCAATAGATGCAGGGGGGTCAGCTGGAATGCCAGAAAAAGAATTGTGAAAATCCCTGATACCCAATGACGCACAGTGATTGATATCACAATTCCAGGTCTCCGCTACATGCGATACACCGAGATGCATGTCTTAATCGCCATGCATAGACCACCGGATACAGAAAAGGGTTAACATCTAAAGAGAAGCCAAGCATATCAAACCTTATCCTTAGGGGGCTGAGCTAAATCGGCAGGGAGCTGAGGCGCCTTCTTCTGGTATCCCGGGGGCGGGAATGGATAGCAGCGAGACATTTTGTATCTGTGTGCAGGCCAAAACACAGCAGTTCGCAGAGGCCAGGAGACCGCCGAGACCAAGTGAATGGAGGCGTACCCCACTGCCACTGCTGCACCATGTCACCACATTCAACCCTGCTCCTTGCGTGGATTCTCTCTCCGCTTCAGCTCCTTTCTGACTGCTTCCAAGTTAAGTGGATTTTGTTTCCCACCCCGTCTACCTTTTCCCCTAAAAAAATCCTTAAAGCAAACGATCAAAATGTGCTCTTCTTGTCTTCTGATAGCACTGATTGTCAACGAGCTAGAGTGCCAAATGATCAATGACAAGTCGATGAGACCAACTTCAGCAGATGTGGGTTCTACAATTCGAAAAGCATCCGCGTTTCGAGAATGAGAAGGTCACCAACAACCACATCCGCCAGTGCCCAGTGGTCCTGCAAACTTCTACGATATGATACCTGTTTAGTTCACCAGGTGAGGAATAAAGTTGTAGGCGAAAAATCTTGACAGCTATGCATCTTAAATTAACTATGTGAGTTGATTTTCGGGATCACGTTTGGCACACTCTCCGAGTCGCTTTTCCAAGATTCTTCACACTGCAGAGGAGCTATTGAAAGAATGAGAGAATGACTGCGGCAGTCATGTGACAACCCCTGTTGAGAATCTAATGGAGAAACCACATATTCCTTTCGACCATGGGTTTAATCTAGGGCATTCAATAAAAACCTTCTCGATCTTTTTCTCTTCTCGGCAAGAAACTGCCCTGCGCTGGGCTATCAACGCCCACAAAAACCCCCGTGCCTGAGCAATTTTGCAGTCCAATCCATAGTATTGTGATTTTTTATTTCTCTCGCACCAATAGGTATGTCTTTCTTTCCTCCTAATCAATCAATGAATTATAAACCTTATCCACTTCCGCGATGACTCCGCGCAAACCTCCTTCTCAATGAACTTAACCTCAATAACAAGTTATTCCAACTAAGCACTGAGGGACAGAGTTTATCCTCAAAGTGATGATCCTCATCGCCTTAACTTTCAGGCCGTCCTCACGAAGGCCTCAGACAACCCGATATCCAATGCCACTGCACCTCCCCTCGTACACCAAAAACTAGGGTTCTCCAAAGTAAAGAGGCAAAAAAGTTCCCGACACTAGAGCCAAACTCCAGCAAAACCAAATTCCCAGCCACAACCTAAACCCCCGCCACGATGCCACGGCATGGCAATCCAATCCACAGAAGAAGAAAATAGATTCTTCCCAGAGAAGGATACCAGAATTGATCCGCCAATGCTCTACCCACGGCACTTATTCACCCCACTGAAACCCTGAAAAAACTCACCCACCCAACCAACCAACCCCTCTGCCCCCCTCACCCCCGCACTCTCAACACCACATCCTCAAAAACTAGGGCGCCACGAATCAGACTGCTAGTTTCCAGCTCTGATTTGGCAAGCACCCTACACCCGCACGAAACCCCGACTTGCGTGATGAATCCACTTGGTTCTCGAGAGGAAAAGCCCATGCAAGCCCGTTGCACACACGGAGCGCACGGCGAGAAAGCTTCCCGAGCGAGAGCGAGACAGAGAAAGAAGTACAATATTTTAACGATGTTGATTCCGAGTGTGGTTTCAGTGACGCCAGCCAGTCAGCATAAGAAACAGAGTGAGAGAGGCGTAGTAGCATCGAGACATGGCATGGCAGAGCAGGGCTATGCTGCTGCTGCTGCCACTGCTGCTACTGCTGCCGGTACTGCTGCTGCAACAGAATCGGGCCAGACTCCCTCCTCCTCCTCAACCTCTGCGAAGAAGAAGAAGACAGCCTCGCTTCCCCTCCAGAAGCAGATACTGGTGTTGTAATAGAAGTAGTAGGAGTACTAGTATTCGTGCCCCTTTGGAGGAGCCCCCGCTCTCTCTCTGCTGCATGCCCTCTCACCTGCTTCATATCTGTTTTGGTGTGCGGTTCCGGGTCGGGTATGCTCATGGAGGGTATGTGTCCGGGTATATGGGGGGTTGGTTGTTGTGGTGGGTTCGGCCGTTCCGATCTGACGCTTTTCGAGGTTCTGCCCTTTTCACACCGCGTTTGTTTCCCTTTATGTTTGTTGTCCCTTCCTTTAATGAGTCCCTTTGAAGTTTGCATTCGTTTTGTTTGTCTGGTTCAAGTTTGATTGTGGGGAATGTTTCACTTTCTTCTTGATCAAATGATGTTTTTTCGAAATTTTGATAGGAATTTTTCGTAAATTTTATTTAAAGATGTAGTTCTTCGTTTATAATCTATCTATCTATCTATATATATATAGGATGACTTTGATTCTTTGCTCAAAAATAAAATAAGAAACAAAAAAATGATGTCACATCACCTTCCGTCGGAAACTGATTTCATTGAACAAGTTATACATACATACATACATGCATGCATGCATATGTCCAAACACACACATTAGATACAAAAGTACACGAGATAACTATTTCTTTTGAAATTTATGATAATATATTAAACAGAACACAAGTTTTTATCACTACTGTGTTACATGATGACACTGAGGTTGAGTTACATTCATATGCACAAAACAGAAGTTAGTGGGATGATTTTAATTTGAAGGTAAACCAATTAACCCACAAACCATTTTTCCCTTCCAGAAAAAAAAAATCAAAAAAATTGATTTATCATGTAATAATATACACTTTTTTAATTATAATTTATAGTGAAAGATTTGCAAAGTACGTCACGTCTTCATCTTTCAGTACTCGTAATCTTCACAGATCTCAAACGCAATGAAGAAATATTTCATTGAATATATATATATATATATATTGCCAAAAATATAGTTATTAAATATATGGTCTTGGTACAAAAACCTCTGCTCTTACATTCTATCCAAGTTGTTAGCTTTAGCACCATCTTTATGAGTGCGTAAAATATTATTTCAACACATGAAAAATGAAGAAAAAGGGCCAAAAATTTAGAGAACAAGTATCTTAAATCCAATACCCCAATCATTGGTATATTCATTAAGATTCAATTAGATGTTTTCGAAATGTGAAACTATGATTCACCAAATAAAAGAACATAGACGAATAAAAAACATAAAAAATGAAGACGATGAATGGATGAATGGACGAACGAACAGAGTGACGGAGAGACTGAGGAGCTGGGGTGCGGTGTTGGATGATTTCCGTTGGTGGGGACACCACAAGCACAACTTGAGAACCCAATCTTGTGGCTCTTTTTATATACGAGATCCACTAATGAAATAGAAGTGTATTGGGAGGTAAGATACTGGGTACTCCAAATGAGGACAAGTGGGTCACCTCAGCCCATCCCATACCCATCCACAGATCTCATCGATAGATGAACGAATAAGTGGATAAAAAACAATGTGTAGAGTAAAAAACAGATCTCATCTTCTTCTGACATGACTCATATAGAGTAAAAAACCCTATTTTTTGTGTTTAATTTACTTATTATTTATTTATCTATTTCCTTAGTGATTGAGGAAGACCCCACAAACAATGTGTAGAAGCAACAAAACATGTGTGAGAAGGAGCTTATATTCTTTAAGAAATATATACACTCATCGAATGCAGTAATCGTTACAAGTGTTAAGCATCTGTGTGAACAAGACTCAAGGCTATGGTCCCCCATGAAAGTCGATTGTTTTCCCTTCTCCATTTGTAGTTATTTTCGTGCTCGAATTATTTAACAACTTAATATATGTTTTGGGAAATGAATGATCTTGGGCTGGAATGTCGAAAACATGAATCTGGCAGGCTTTTTCCAACTCACCCTGTTCCTGAATGTGTCCAGAGTGGAAAATCTTCGACGTCGCCCGACTTTTCAAAGCCACTGTGTTGAATCTTCTTTGGAATTGGGAGGGATCGTTTCAACAGAGTGGATAGGCGGCAGACAGAAGAAGTGCGAGAGGAACAAGACAACTAGAATTCGAAAAGGGAGATCCAAATACAGAGTCGATGAGATCCTCTCCAGGACCCCAGTTTCTGAAAACACTAGTGCATAGCCCTAAACCCTAATGTACTTCCCGATTTGGTAATCTCACCGCTGGTTAAGCAGCAGTGTAAGTACCAATGTGCTGCTGTAGGAGTAGTAGCTTCTGTACAACTGCACAGGGTTGACGAGGGTCTCAACTCAATAACCTCTCTGGATCGCCATGCTGTGTGTGTATAATGGAGCCCACAACCACCACCGCCCCACTGAGCACCTCCTCAAATAATGAGAGCCAGCAAGCCATGAAGTGGTGGCTGCAAAGAAGCAATCGGGAGGGGTGCCAGCGGGAACCACTCACGAATCTCATCATCGAGTGTGGAGGGGGGAACAGGCTCGAGCCACACTTGGGTGGGGCAATCACTGCCGCTACCTCTCTTTGTACCAAGAACTCTCAAGTCAATTCATGTGATGAAGGGGGTTAGATGCCTTTGCTTGTGAGGGCTTGTGAGCTCACGGATTGGAATGAAAAGCAGGCGGAGCAGTACATGTACGTCGTATCAGGAAATGGGGAGTTGGGGGGGGGGGGGACATCATGGATGGGATGTTGATCGGTCGTTTTTTACCTTCGTAATCGGATTGCCCCCACTGTGCTCAGCGTTGCCAGGTGACACCGAAGCTCAACAAGACTTCCTGGTGCAGAGATGTACTTGGAGTCTGCCTCATGAAAGCACCTGGGCTCCAACTTCCTGTTGTCTCCCCCCCCCCCCCCGGGGGATCGAAAGCTCTTCACTCTGAATAGTTTGGAGCTGCTAGGATTGGCATGGATGATGATGCTCTTCACCTCAGATTTCGTGAATCGCACAACGAATCCTTCCACTATGGTTCCTACGTAATTTCATGTCATCTCACATTAGGGTTAGAGCGGTATTAGGACATTAGACATCCTTGTGAAGACCCCTAAGTTTGTAATCACTGTTGTGTTACAACACACTCAAGGCGTTAAGAAAGTGCCGCATTATTGTGGTTGAGAATAAGGAATAACAGGTGACTTGCGTTGTAGGAATAAATGAGTACTTCAATCTTTAAATTGTGGAAAAGACGAGCTCGCTCTCATTCAGAGAGCTTCGAGGGCTGACTTGATTAATGAGGAAGACCGAAAGGTTTGTAGACGCTGGGACACGCTGATTCAATGTGCGCCGCGACTCAGATAAGAGTCGGCTCTTACTATCAGAACCCAGGTAATGTGGACATTACATGTAAAATTGCAGACGTTGCTTCAGCTTCAAATTTGCGAGCGAATAAGAAACAGGTGGCATTAGTGATGCCGTTGTACTTGCAGATTGGTCTCAGGCTGGATGGGGACTTGTCGAGAGCGGATTCCTGTTTCAGACCGTCGGTTTCCTGAGTCATCTTTCGGATTTTGTCGAATAAGGCAAATAGGTCTTGACTGGATCCGTAAGAACGCGGAGAGCCGGGGATCGGCCGTGTTTCCTCCCAGTTGGCATACATTGTAGTGCGGTTCGCAATCCCACTGACATCTTCAAGATGTAGCAGCGTTTGAAAATACTCTTCGTCGGGAGCGCACCACAAGCTGCAACTGGCAGCGAACTTGGCATATCTCTCAGTGTCGGTTACAATGATGATGGCATGTTTTCTTGTCATTTGCATCCATGTCTCCCCCTTCCGCAGCTGCACAACCGGAAACTCTGGCATCGTATCCCACTGTTGGTACTTCTCTTCTGGTAGGAACGCCTCCACAAAGCTGTGTTTGCTTCCGATCAAGTATTCGTACACAGCTGGGAAGCCACGAACAGGGACTGTGGACTCGCAGACATTGACGAACCAGGCATTGTTGTAGTGAGGGTCGGCCAGGGCATACGCTAGTAATCTTCGGATGGCATCCACCAGGCTTATGGAGATTCGTGCCACTGGCTTGGAAGGGATCTCTCTGCCTTCGAAAATCGATCCGGGCGGGAACTTGTAGTCTACTGGGTTGCTTGCATGTACGTATAGACTCCATAGCTCTTCGTGACCTTGAAGAAACTTCCTCCACACTGGCTCAAGCTCGATGGGTCCCTTGACGGTGAAGAGAAAGGCAATCCTAGGTGACCCTGGACCAGGTCCATCTAGTACTTTACGAAATGCATGCTTGTGAAGTTCGCGGTCGTTGGCAAATTCTGGGAATCGGTAATCTGCAAGAGTTCCGGAAGATCCACTGATGTCGCTGTCCGTCCTGGAAGAGAATACAGAAGGCACACATCTAGAAATGGAGGCTCTGTCGTGGAGTGACCTTGAATAAAAGACCCTAGTGATTAGGATCCAGAAGATGGACGTAGCGATCACCACATTTATGACCTTACGCTGTCCCCTATTCATGGTTTACTGTCTGATCAAATACATTAGTCACAGAGCAAAGAAAGATTTACACACATAGCAGCTGAAAGCAACAAGATTTGGAACAGAAATCACGGAAAGTTGATGGAAATTGATCGACCCGAAGTGTTCGCTTAGAACTCTACAAAGCGCATCACAAAACAGAACTTTCGGAAGTATGGTTATAAAGAAAATTAGATGGATTCGGAAGAGCGTTTCCGCACAAACTTCCAGCATTAACACACGGATTTCCAGGTTCAACAAATTCCGAACCTTACACCAGATTGAAGTAATAACACCGCGCACTAATCTGCCTGCAAGCTAGACACCTACACTTCTTAATTTTGGAGCAAAAGATAACACCGCTGTTAGCTTCCCTGGTGGATGGCTTTTATCTCCCACGTCTTCAACAGCTCATCCTGCTGCTAACCTTACACAGATTCTACAATCCTGAGAAATCCAACTCACGTTGCCAGGTTCATCTCGCTCCGCATGGAACTACCGACACCCGTGGTGACGATATCAAAGAAATTTGTCGACCATCTAAAAGACTACGTATGTATCACAAGGCGGAAGGCTCTACAGTGATGGAGGTAGGACTCCTTACGCAAGAGAATAATAGTTGCTACGATTTCCGCCTAATACAACCTTGCAAAAGAGAAATGAGAAGCTCCAAGCCTCATCCAACCGCATCAGGTGCCCGTCATCGTGCACAGCGTGGGCCAACGTAAGTCTGACCTCGTAATACCGCACGGGTTGGTCTACAGGATTCCTGCACTCATACAGCAGAGTTCACCCAAGGATAGCGAATAATCCAAAAATTACTGGCTCGGATCCCAGGGATTCTTGGAAGCTTGTTTTGAGATTCGAAACTAAAGGTACTCGGGAGTCTTCTGAGTTTTTCTCGTCGTTTTAGTTCAACGAAATCCTCGCCGAAAGCCCACCTTTATGGCACGTGGCATGTCATGCCGTATTAATAGTGGTGCCACAGCCGACTAGGTTTCAGACAGCTTTGCAACGAAGGGTTCCAGATAACGGCCTGACACGAGCTCGTGGGCCTCATCTTATTCATTTGGCAGTTTTCACAAAATTATTCGAGACTCAGCAGTAAGAAGCCTGATATTGAGAATCCTATCAGCGAATTTCTCCAACTCCTGTACCTGTCTTACCACTAAGTTGGTCGTAAATGATTAAAGAAAGGATCCATCGTGCATAAAATGGTTATTTAAGCAGCAGGGAGATCTGTTTTAGTATTCAACTGCAGACACGAGGAACAGTAAATCCTGCGTGATTTCGTAGGCGCTTCTCCTTTTGATATTTACTGTTCAGAAAAAATTATTTATATAGTTTGAAGCACCATCACCGGCTTGAATGGTTGCCTTGAATACTTCTGCAGAATCGGACCGAAATAGGGCATAATGCATCCCCGAGTGAGCCCCACCCTCGAGGTCTTTGAAATCAGACGAACTGATAGGTGAACTAGAAGCGGTGGCCTTGAGGGGTGCGAGATTACTCGAGCGAACATGTGCGGCTATCCTTTCAGACAGTTATGCAAGAGAGTTTCTTTGAAAACTCCTAGTAGTAATCGCTCCTTTGCGGAGGTGCGGAGAGGAGACACTAGACAGTGGGTGTTTTTCAACAAACTTCAACGAACCGAGGAGGATGTTTTAGAGCGAGTGTGGATGTCTGTCAAGGATGGTGATAAGTAGAGATGAACATCCACGCGCGATTTCGTCTGCTTTGACAGACCGCAGGCAATGCTTTACAGGATTTGTTCTTTTCAACCACGGATCGATCCAGTCTTGTAGCTCTGTTGCCTTGTTTTATCACGGACATTACATCGTGGAATAGAATTATTGATCAAAACTGACCCCGGCCAGATGAACAAGGAAAGAATACAGCGTCAGCAGAACCTCGCGGAATTCTAGTATGTCCTCTCCGCACCTTTCCGACGAACAGTTTGTTCCTTGTACCAAAATTAGAATGTGTTATCCGAAAGAGCTTGTCACGTTCATTCAGTAGATTTTAGAGAGAATCTTAATGTCTCGGGCCGCATATCCTTTCATCCGCTTGATCCCCACAAGAGTCCAGTTCCAACTTCTCTAGGAACATAATGCCCTGGAGTCGGATGTCAGGATTGAAGTCGTGTGTAGAAGTGCGAAAACTTCTGTAACGTGAAAACGTTGATAGTAGCACAATATGACAGTCGAACACTTTACAAGATTGGTCGCTTCCATTGGAGAGCAAGGAATGTTGGACAGCTTGAAGGTATTTGATAAGGACTTGTCGGCTTTCATTATCTGTCTCCTTGTTTGAAGCACAAAGGTAACTGGGGGCTTTCATCGCCGCCAGTGCAGGTGCAAGAATAGCTGCTAGTTACCAGCCAAAAGGCACCTAATGCAACGACATTGGACAAGAAGGTTAATTCTTCAGTTCTTAATAACTGTTAGAAGGCTTGATGCTTTGATAAATCTCCAAAGACTGCAACTTTAACTGAGCTACTTGCTTAAATGTGTCGTCAGAGAGGATCCGATACTCCACAAGTGCGTGAGTTGTGCCCCTGGTGGTAAATTGCATCGATGGAGAATGTGAAAAGGTTTCCTGTTGTGACACTTTGATTGTATATGTGTAGAAGGCACACTTGATTGCATGATGTGTGATTTTGATAAAATATTTAGACTCTTATTGCAATTGCTTTGAGTTTCTAGAATATCACAGAAGATAATTGTTTATTGATATAATAGAGTGTATACATGTGAAATGCAAGTAGTGTGTGTGTAAGAATGAATTGTGGATTTGTACTTACAATTGCAAGAAGCTACTATCTAATTGAGACTAACAATATAAGATGAATGGTTTCATCTCCTTATAATATCTCCCTTGAAATCTTACATATTTAAATTATTAGTTTAGTAAGTGGTGATAATATATAATTAGAAGAATAATGAATTAGTCAAGTAAAATCTAAAAGTTGGTATAGCAGGATCAATTAGCGAGGCATCCTTCTAATTAGTCGTTTGCATGGTCGTGGAAGGAAGAGCCAATTGAGGATATATATATATATATATATATATATATGCATTGGGTGTTTGAGGATGCTCATGAAACAACATCTTTGCAACGGCACGTTGATAAGAAGCATCATTCTTCAATTCCATAATTTGTTAGTAGTTTTCTTGGTGACCTTATTGATGATATTATTAATCTTATTTGGCCATAGATAGTAGCTCAACTTCCTCCTATGATTCAATTTATGGTGTTGCAACATTTGATTGTTATATAGACAATAACTATATTGCTTAAAGTATGTCAAAGTTAGAATGACTTCATAAATTCTACTACTAAATAGAAGATTGAAGTATACACATATTGTCAAGGACAAGAACATAATAAAGACAAATAAATAAGTGAAACTTCTTTCAAAGAAAGATGACAAAATAGAAATAACTTGATATGTATATTAAGAAAGAAACTGAAATGGCTATTGCCAAAAGACAAGAAAATTAGAGACCCTTGAAACTAGACTAGAAGCAAGAAAAGAGTTGACAAGAGTGAAGAAGGTTTCACTCTTGTCTCTATATATACTATCTAACTAAGGGCTACGTGGCGACGTTTTATAGAACCTCCAATATGTCTTGACTTTGTAGGACACATGTCTTGACTTACAAGGCAAGTTTTTCTACATGTGGGCCACATAATTAGCTTGGTCTTCAAGTTAATAACATGTGTGGCACATGGCCAACTTGTTGACTACGTTTCTAATCCAAAAAGTCAATTAAAGATACATATAAAGTCAAAGCAGCGTCTATAAAGCTTCTAGGAAGCTTCCATACAAAATACTATAGAATTAACTTACTTTTATCTACTTTTACTTACTTCTACCTATTTATACATGTAATTATTGGCTTACATGTGTATGTCCATGACATTATCTCCTCTTCTAGGGACGAGTTCCAAAAGGAGCGGTAATCATATGTTGAGGAAATCTATGATGTGACGAATTGTATTCGCCACATACTCTGAACTTTGTTCTCTTTGAAGATGATTGATAGGGCCTCTCAACCATCAGTAGTGTCCCATACCAGGATGGGAAGACCACCCAATTATTTGATCATTGTTGAGGTCTTCATAACTTCCTTCGAATAAAATATTTGGAACACCATCAGAAGTTGTTCCTACCTCTAGTAAAATCACCAAACATCGAGAGTTTCTTCCAAGATCGTGATACCAAACACATTATATTTTGCCATCTATTTGAGGAAGAACATGTCGTTCTTCAAGATCTTCATCTCGATTGCATCGTCTTGAAGATCGTGACAATCGTGATGTCTCGTCCGGTAGGTCAGCAAATGAAGGCTCTTAAGTCGAATTTGCTACTTGTTGGTTTTCTATCTCCTGAGCGTCACAACTACAAAGAAACTACAAACAAGGATTGAAAGTAGAATGTTATCTTGCCAAGAACTTGTTTCTTTTATAAAGAAGGTTTTTATCTTGATTTTGATAGATATCGTTGATGAAAAGCCTCCACCGCCTTTGCTGCATTTGCAAGATTCTTTATTGGCTCCCATGTGCGTTCACTAATATCATATCCGTGCCAATGGACAAGATATTCCAATTTATTTTGACGCCGCCTTGAATCTAAGACTTCTTCCACTTCAAACTCTTCATTATTGTCCACTTCTATAGGAGGAGGTGGAGCTCGTCTTCTTCTTGGTATGTCCACTGTCTTGTATGGTTGAAGAAGAGACACATGGAATATTGGATGGATTTTCATTAACTCCGATAGGTGTAAACGATATACAACTGAATTGATTTGTGTAAAAATAAGAAATGGTCCAAGTCTAGGATAGTCCAATTTATCACAAGGATGAGTGGTCTTGATATTGCAACGAAGTAACTATACCTTGTCACCCATGTGGAATGGTAGTTGTACCTTTCGATAGACATCTGCATTGAGCTTTTATTGTTCATGAGCTTCTTTTAACTGTGCCTTTATTGTTGCATTTACCTCCAATAAATGATTTGCCAAATCTTCCTCTATAAGATTATCAGCTTTTAAAAAGCCAAAAGTATCAAGTTATAGACGATAACCGTAATTGGCAAAGAAAGGTGTTTTTTTGTAGAAGAATGTACTATGTTATTACAAGCAAACTCTGCGAATGGCAAAAGAGTTGTTCAATCATCTTGTTGATAGTTGATGGTATATCTTAAATATTGCTCCAAAATTTGATTAACACACTATGTTTGTCCATCAGTTTGAGGATGGAATGCTGAAGATAGTTTTATATTCTTTTTTAGAATCTTGAAAAGAGTTCGCCAAAATCTTGATACAAATTGAGTTCCCCTATCTGATATAATATCCTTGGATAATCCATGATAGCAATAGATAATGTCAAGGAAGAGCTTAGTTGTTTCTTCATCTATGATAGATTTTGTACATGGTACAAAATATGCCATCTTGGTAAAATGATCTACTATCACGAATATAGAGTTATAAGAACTTGAGATTGGAAGATCCGTGATGAAATCCATAAAAATAAAAGACCATGGTTGTTCTGGTATGGATAATGGCTGAAGAAGTCCGTAAGGTCGATGACGAGGAGTTTTTGATTTCGAGCAAACATCACAAGATTATACAAAATCTTTAATTGCTTTCCACATTTACAGCCACCAAAAGTCCTTAAATATTAGTTCCAAAGTTTTATTGTATCCAAAATGTCCTGCTGCTGGAAAATCATGTGTCAAGGACAAGAACTCGATGAAAAATAATTCAGACA